ATAAAATGAACCTCCTTTGCTCAGCTCTTTGGAATGCTCATTCTGCTTTATAGAATGAAGTGTGCTGGACTCTAGAAATGCAAATAAAGCCAATTAAGATCTTTAAACTAAATTTGTTGTAATTTTGTCTTTTGATAGTCATTAGGGAAAGGCAAATCAAAACCAAAATGAAATAGCACTTCACATTCATCATTAAGATGGCTAAAATCAAAGAAATGAAAAATAACAAGTGTAGGTAAGGATGCAATAGAACTGGAAACCTCATTCACTGTTGAAGGGAATGTAAAATGGTGCAGCTACTTTAAAAAACTGCCAAGCTATTTTCCAAACTGTTGAACAGAGTTACCATATGACCCAGAAATTCCACCCAAGAGAAATGAAATCACATATCTCTATCCAGACAAAAACTTTTCACAATTGTTCATATTGGCATGAACATTACAGAATAGAATACTAGTTGTATATAAAAAGGAATGAAGTACTGACACACGCTACAATATGGATGAACCTCAGAAATTTTATTATGCTAAATAAAGAAGCCAGACACAAAAGACCATTTGTTGTATGATTCTATTTATATGAAATGGTCCAGAAGAGGCAAATCTGTAGAAAGTAGATTAGTGGTTATCTAGAGCTGGGGTGGAAATGGGAAAGGGCTGCTAATGAGCAGAGGGTTTATTTTGGGGCTGATGAAAATGCCCTCAAATTAGATTATGGTGATTAGTAGCACAACTCTGCAAACCACAGAATTGTATACCTTAAGTGGGTAAATTTTATGATATGTGAAATATCTCAATAAAATTGTTTTAAAAAAAACCCTGCTCCACTCCTCGTTCCTAAAGCTATCATACTTTATTTTCTGTGATTCACCATTATGAACCTTCTAATCTGTCCATCCAGAGTCTAACAAAAGTCCACAGCTCACATTTCAATTCTCTGATTTTTCTCACACTGTACCCTCCCTAAAATACCATCAAGTCACTTAATCATTTAAAAAATTTTTCTGACCAAGCCAATCGTCACTGACCTAATTTTCCTCTAGATTCATATCATACCATCCATAATTGGTAACACTGTAACCTCAAATGTATATATAAAGAAGTTCCTCCTTATTCCCATCAACTTCTGGTATTGGTGTGTGTGTGTGTGTGTGTGTGTGTGTGTGTGTGTGTGTGTGTGTGTGTGTGTGTGTGTGTGTGTGTGTGTGTGTGTGTGTGTGTGTGTGTGTGTGTGTGTGTGTGTGTGTGTGTGTGTGTGTGTGTGTGTGTGTGTGTGTGTGTGTGTGCAGCTGGGTGTTACGGGTGTTATCAGCACCACGCTCTATCGAACTGAGTTAACAATCTAGCCAACTTCTAGTATTTGCCATGCTAAATAAAATTTATAGGAGGCCATTGGTTTGGACTGAGCTCCTGTACCAGGCTCAACAGACCAAACTAAAGTGGAATGCTGAAGTTCCAAACCACCAAACCGAAACTAAGATCTTTATCTGACTCTCCTAGAAATCAGGAGAGAAATAATAGCCAAATCTCTAAACAGGCTAGTTTTGGCCAACATGATAAGGAAATACCCTCTGCTTTAACCTTTATAAGAAAAATAACTTTGAAGTGACCAATCCACTTTTTATTTTCTGTTTCTGTTTTTCTCAGCCCTTTTCTGTTTATAAAACCAACTTATTCCAGTTGGCTTACAGGAACACTCATTCTGTTTTACAAAATGGGCTGTTTCCCAATTCTAGAATCACCCATAAAAGCCAATTAAGATTTTTAATCAAAATTTGTTGTAATTTTGTCTTTCAACAGCTACAACCTCTAATTCCTGCCTTAATCTCTTTTATCTTCTCAGAGACAAACTAGTTATTCCAAAATTGTAAGGACCAAACATAATTTTGGAAATTCAGTTGGGGCCTTAAGCCAAACAGGAAAAAGTGTACAACAAGGCATTTCATAGGGTAAGTAACCTCAAGAGTGAATAAAAAACATGCTCCTTCCTTTATTAACTCCTGCCAACTCACCAACTTTACAGGCCAGAATCTCAACTACATCTTTATATCCCTTACAACATTTAGCACAGAATCTTCAACACAGGTGGTACCAAATGTCTACTGAATAACAAACCAATGCCTTGAATGCAACTTCGTACTATGTATTCAGTAGTCCCCAAACCTTAGCAAATATCCAAAGTCTTAAATCAGGAAATGGAGATGAGGGAAAGGAAAACTGAAATGATAGGGCGTGCATTAACTTCTCAACAGACTATTAGAAGTGCATGTTTTACTGTGCTTTTTTCAAGGTGACCTCTTACTGCTGATCTCAAACTTGAGTGTGCATTAGGCATCCTAACCTTTAAATACTTATTGACATTTCACAGCTGTCACAGAAAAAAAGTTAAGAGAAGTGAGAATTTAAATATGAAAGTCCACCTCTTCCTAAAAGTGGGTGCCAAGATTCAACTCTCTGTGCCTCTACAGGCATCCAGGACGAAATTAACATTATGAATCTTGGAAGTACAGAGGACATCAACTAGGAATAAGGAGCACTGCTTTCAAAGGATAGAGGGTTGGCAAAGGCAGTAGACAAATCTTAGTAGCTGAATATCTGAAAACAACAAAGAGAGCAGGTCCTACACAGCACAAAAATCACAATTGATAAAACCTGATCTAGACCCTCCTTCTCCCACAGGAGCCTAGGATCAATGAATTCATGAGCATTTCTTTCTGATACCTGGCATAGACAAGTCTAGTTCTACTCCATAAAATTCTTCTCCCTGGCCCTGACATAATAAGAATACTGAACATTTCTCATTTGTTTAACTTCAGAAATATATTTCTTCCTCTTCCTATTTATTCATACTTATCTGGTAATGTGCCTTGGGTTGTTTAGAGGCCAAAATACAAATATTGTAATCATTCAGAACCGCTTATGGGATTTCCCTGGTAGAAAAGCAGTTATCTCCAAATCTATCATTATTTAAGTTTGTTAAAGACTTTCTGTGGAGCCACGGCTAATGTCTGAAATCCTGTCAACATCGCCAATTGTAGCGCTCTTAATCCTGTTCGTGACAGCAATTGTCTGGCTACATGACCATGCTAGTTGTTGGGCTCTTTTATCCTGCTGACTGGGCTGATTTGTTGCACTAGGGCTGGGTCTGGAGCTCCCAGACCCCTCAAGCCCATTCACTGACTGGGTCGCAAACCCTTCATACGCTAGGCTGGGTTACCAGACCCCATACACGCCAGGCTGGGTCACCAGACCCCTTACACGCAGGTCTATGAGTTAGGTAACTGGCCAAAAGGTCCCTGGAGCCATAGGTTGAAAAGCATCGCCATGTAGGGCAGATGCCCGAGGCAGACACCTGCCCGCCTCCTTCACTAAAACTCCTCTCTCTGAAGAACACAAGACTAGCAACAAAACTAAAGATACATTGGCACGCATGCACACTAACTCGCCACATGCGTGCACACACACACACACACACAGTTTGCTTACAAAGGATGTGCTAAAACCACACCCACCTGGACCCGAGGTGAGGGCCCTGACCAAACTACTCTATTTTCCCAACAGCTTTCTACTTGTTTCATTTGGGTTTCTTAAATAATTCCCTTTTTATCTGTAAAAACTCTTTTCCTTCCCTGCCATTCATTTTTTAATATTCATTGATTCAGATTAAGAGATTATGAAATGTGTTTACAGTGGATAATTCTTTTTCAGGTACAAGAGAAAATAAACACCTAGAGAGAATGTTTTTTAGAACTTGTACCTATATTAAGGTACAAGAGAAAATAAACGCCTAGAGAGAATGTTTTTTAGAACTTATATATCGTTATTTTGTCAGTTGCTGCCTTTTTTGAACTCATATATACAAAAGCTAACACTCCCATTCTAAATGTTCAACAAGGCATTTTAATTCTGCTTTCTAAGAAAGGCTAATTATCATCAAGATTTCTTCAAATCACGTATGAAGAAAGATAGCACTTGATTATTATTCTGAATAATGACTTCAACATATCAGGACAACTTTTCCCAGTGAATATTGTTAAAGAGGAAGAAGCATAGTTATCCAGTCAGAAAGTACTGAACCAGAGAAAGTAGTTATATACATGTCCTGTCATTTGATAGAATCAACCAAATATATAAACAAGAACCTTGATTTCTGAAGGATAAAGAAACCAGTAAAAAAATAAAATAAATACAAAAAGCATCACATCAATGTACAGTTCTCTCTCTCCATTATTATACTACTAGCCAATGATTTTAAACAGCTGTCAAATTCTGGTAAATGAAAGGCTTTCAACTGTTTATAAGGACAACTAGTAACTTTTTTCTTATCTGCAATAGTGCAGGTTGACAATGACTTATACATACTCGGAGCTCAAAAAATGATTGCTAGACAAAGAATTAAACTAAAGAGCCTTCATGAGATGTATAGAACATAACTTCTTATGAAAAAAATGTATTTTTTAAAAACTGAAAAATAAAAAATTATATTCACATGTATACTTTTCTATTTTACCTATCTTTTAAAATATGACTTACGCCCAAAAATATTAACTGGGGGTTGAATTTGCACAAAAGATAGCTTAAAAATCCTTATTAACCCCTTCAAATTTCTCTAGTTCACCTATTCACAGTAACTTAAGAAAAAACAAATGGAGTACTAAATTAAAAATTCACTCCTTTCAGTCACAGTATAAGTAATACAGTTGGTGGGATAGGAAATAGTAGTTTGATTTTTCTGTGTGTGTGTGTGTGTGTGTGTGTCTATTTTTGGTGGCTGGATGGTATAGAGACCAAACCCCTGGACCTTGGTGTTATCAGCAACACACTCTAACCAACTGAGCTAACTGGCCAGCCCCCTCCATATATGTTTTTTAGGATCACTATTGATAATTTCAAGTGCTGGCTATAGTCTTCTGTTCACACAACTCTTATTAAATTTAAAGCAACCCTCAGATGAAAATACCAAATAGCAATATATCCCCCAACGTGCAAAGCACAACTTACTTCTACTTGAAAAAGTTCTCCAGCCCCCTCACAGTCATTCGATGTGATTACTGGGGTATGAATATTCACAAAGCCATTATCCTAGAAGAAAAAGAAAAACCACTCTTTTCAGTATATTTGCATATAAAACAATTCCAAGAACATACACTATATACTATTAAAATGGTACTAAGAGAATGCCACATCGAATTTCTCCCTAATCCCCCAAATATAAGACTATTGAAAGATCAGTTGAGTGTTTTACCATGCACAGTAAGTAGTGCAAAGAACTTTAAATGAGGAACAGATTAGACATTAGTTATCCCAACCTCTTCATTACAAAGATAAAAATTTGAGGCCCAGAGAGATTTAGTGACTTGTCAAAAGTCTCACAGTCAGTGGCTGAGACAGGAATGGAACCTAGGTTTTCAGGTTCTCTCTTTAGTGCTACTTCCTTTTCCCACTTCTCTTAACATATTGATGGTGATCTAACACAGAGACAGACACACACTTACCCAAGGCTAATGAATAATGATGTTGCCCACATTGCTAGGGGAATACAAAGTAATTGATATGAAGTTCAGTTATCTTAGAATGAGACCTCAATTGTAATGAACCACCAAAAAGGAGAAAAAATAAAGTTGACAGACAAGGACTAAGGAAATAAACAGCAAAAAGGCAGAAATGATTTTTGGAAAGACTCTGTCATTAAACTGATGGCACAATGCACTGCACACTGCACGGGTAGTACACTTGCTTTGCCTGAAGGAATATTCTGAGCAGCAGCAAATCCGTTCATTACTGAGGCGCCCAACTGCAGCCCTTCCGATCAAAAGTCTGAGACTATTTCCATTAGTGAACCACAAAGCTGTTTAGTAGGAATGAAATAACCGAGCAACTTCAAGGTTATGCTTCTTTCATTTTGACTCTGGATGTAAGCAAAAGATTATAGTCAGTGTACATATTATAGGCTGGAAATGGAGGTTGCTAAGAAAATTTACACTAGAAAGGCAGAATCGTATGTGTTTAATGCAAAATTTTGGCCTTGAAATTGGTACAATTAGTTCATATATACACACCTCTGCCAAACTTAGTGGAATGCAAGATGTCTCTGCATATTACCAGGGGCCTCCCAAATATGACCCTTCCTGAATTCTGGCTATGATACAAAATATTCATTTAACAACTTGCCTTATGATATAGACTAATATTCAATTTATAAATTAAGAGTCTCAGAAAGTATCAAATATGTACCTCATCTAAGAGCAATGTGCCTAGAGGTGCTGCAAGAGCACATTATAGAGAACCAATGAAATATAATCAATAACATTACTGCATAAAATTTTTATCTCCTAGGAGCCAAGAATTATGGACATGAATCATTTATTCCACATGAATGTAGGCAACTATGAGCATGAGTGCAGTAAACAAAGAAAGGAAGTGAAAAATCCAAAGGAAATGAGGGTAGGGAGGGGGAGGTGAAGAGGGAGGAGAAAATGTAACAGCTAAACATAATTGCCAAAGTTAGAACTGGTCAAATGCCACAAGAAATAGCACTGTAAATCTTATGAAAATAACTGGGGATAAAAAAACAAAAGAAAAACAAACAAAAAACTACACAAGTACTGGGAATTATTTTTAACATGTAACTAATGTTAAACCTTTCAAAAGTGTCACAAGCATTTTAAGATTTTATGCTGCTAGCAAGGCTTAAAGTCCACAACAGTACCAAAAGCTATAAAGGAGAGTACAAAGGAAGAGTAATAAGTGATGCAAACAAAGTCCAAAAACGAGAAAGTGGGGTAGAGAAAGGTAAAAAGGAAAGTAAATAGCAAGGAGTGGTGGAGTACTGTCAATACCTGCCTCAAATAGGTTACTAGTGTCATCTACTTTTACCACTCCATAGCAAAGAAGGCCAGAGAAGGGGCCAAAGAGAAAAGTCAACACTTTCACTCAGTTTTTCAGATTCTACACACCACCTCCAAATATCTAAGTATTTTGATACACATTCTAGAACCAGATATTTAATAAGGCTCTTATTAATCCAAAAATTACAAAATTCACATACTAAGGCCCATACACATCACTCAGAAAAGATGAATGAACTATATTTTTCTTTCACACATAACCAAGATAACTATCATTATTTAATAAAAATCAAAAAAGAAGCATGAGAGAAATTGCTAGCCACAGGCATGCCACTGGTAAAAAAAAAAAAAAATGTGACAACAAGAGGAGAACAACAACAATAAAAATCCATAAAAAGCACTCACAAGAACTCAAAGGCACAGCTGTCTGGGGCCACGCAACACAAGGTTAAAAAATACTCCACACCATGGCAGGCTTTGAAGGCACTGCCATACACAGGAGGATAATCCCTACTCACAAAGAACCTTGACTCATCAAGAAGAAAAGGCAAACTCTTTTCTACTGGCTCAAATGAGGAAGACAAGGAAGTATGTAACTTATTTTCGGAATACTTCCACTGGAATTTAGAAAAAACTGGAGTCTAAAGAGAAAATCCTCAGTTATTTGAGAAAATTAGCTCTTCTAAATGACTCATTCCTTGAGGATTCTATCTAGCTAAGTTTTAGTACATAGCAAATGTATTAATCTTACAAGCAAACCAAGTTATACACAAAATATTTTTGATACTCAAACCAAGAAATAACTCTAAATCCTTAAAGTGTCATAACAAAGTACTGTATTGTTCAAATTTCTATTTTCTCCCACATTTCTATATTTCTATTGGTGGACTTGAAATTTACGAAAATTTTATATTTGTAAGCCTTAGCATCTTTCATGGAACCTAAAATAACAAATCAAAGTAACAGTACCAAATACTAGATAACATATAACTGTTACTTAAAATATCCTATAGTACTCCAGTGACTTCTTTAAAAATTTCAGTTCTAAATGTCACACATACAAGTGGGTAACATAGAATAAGTTATCAAGATTATATTTGCCAGGGCTTTCCAATTAAAAAGTGAATTTACAGCACTTGAATAGTGTCTATCTTCATAACTACTCTATAACCAACAATGCTAAACTTTATTTTGCTTATTTTTCTTATTTCAAATTTTTCTAGTTTGTTCTTATTTTTTAAAAATTGTTTACATACCTGTAAAAGCTTCAAGTAATACGGGAATGTATGAAGTAGGTAAAGTCCATTTGTCAATGGATTACCAATACCACCACCTAGTGGCCAAAAATCTGTAAAACTGTTTCAAAATTAAAGCAGATCTACTTTATCAGCTGTTGAAGCCATATGGGGAAAAAAAAATTTCTAGCTCTGAACATATTTTATGTTTGTGTGGTTCAAGCACTATGGAAAAGCCATATGGAAGTTGCATAAGAAAGTTTATGAGAAAATATGTAAATGGACCCTTTCAAACTATAATTAGAAGACACTGTATAATGTCATTTATTTTCCTGTTAAATCAAAAGTACATGCCTTAAAGCCATGATGTTCTTTGGCTGTTTCACCAGAAATTAACTCTGAAGGAGCTTTTCAAAGCACAAGTACTCTCTTGGTGAGCTACAGCAGGACTGGGACTGCATGAATTTGAATACAGCCCAAGGAAAGGCTATGCTGTTACACAACTTCTGCAAATTAGCTGGATCTGTAGAAGTGGCACAGGAAGAGTTCCAAGACTACATAAAATAACACTGAACTCATCTGCTGGGTCACTCCTTGCTTTTGGGGTCCTCCCATACACATGGGGGGAGAGTCCCATCACCTTAGCACTTTGCCATATTCGACTATAGCTTTCCCAGGTGAGGAGAAAAGGTTGAAAAGCAAATCTAAATGAGACAAAATGCCTTTAGTCATTAGATTAACCTAGTTGGTCAACACCAATGAAGCTTTAAAATTAGTGCTAACTATATATGAGAGAAACAGGGACCGGATTTATTCTCCCACCTGAAACAACAAAAAGCAAACCAGGTGAAACAATGGTTTTCAAGTCACTGGCAACAAAGGCCAGTGATCTCAGAGAGATGGGAAACAAACATAATGAACCCTATCAGTAGCCCATCTTAGTATTTTGAGCTCTTCTAGGCCACAGCACAGAGGGGGAAGTAAGGTAGAGCCCAGCAGACTCTCTGAGTTGAGGAAAACATAGCTGAGAGTGGAGATACCAAAGTGGCTAGAGTTCATAGGACAGAGTATCAGAGAGGAGAGAGCTGCTGAGATAGAGAACTCCAGAGGTCTGTAGAGGGTCACCCTGTAGTATTAGGTATATCAGTGCGCATGTGTGAAGAAACTATACAAGGCTAGGGAAAGAGCTATCTAAAAAGATTAGAGGAAACAGTGCACAGTGCTCACATGCTGGCTGGATCACTGCCTGTTCCCACAAGCCAGGTTGGAAAAACTCATAATTCACAAGCTCTAGGTAGAGTACTCAGGAAAGCTTTGCCTCAGCAATGGGGAACAATTAGTACTAGACTGAATACTGCTCCAGACCTGCTTAACAAATCATAGAAGCAAGACCGAAAAGGATCAGTTTTCAAATTAATATACGGAATATCAGAACAAAGCTCGAGAAGCTTTACACATATACAGCATGAAACAAGGCAAAATTCACAATGTCTGGCACCCAATCAAAGATTAGTAGGCATGTGAAGAGGCAGGAAAACATAACCCATAATAAGAGACTAATCAATCAACCAAAACTGACCCATAACTGACACACGTGTTAGAAGCAGAAGAATTAAAGAGTTTTTAATCAATTATTAAAACTGTATTCATATGTTCACAAAGTTAAGGAGACATGAAAGATATAAAAAACAGCCCAAATCTAACATCTAGCTATGAAACCTATAGTATGTGAGATGAAAAATACACTGGACAAAATTCAAAACAAATTAGGCACCGCAGAAGAAAAGACTAGTAAATTTGAAGACACAGCAATAGAAACTATCCAAAAGAAACACACAGAGAAAAAAGAACTAAAAAAAAAAAAAAGAACATCACTGAGCTATGGGATATCATCAAGGGGCCTAATACCTAATATATGGATAATCTGAGTTCTCAAAGGAGAGAGGTAATAGAAAAAATAATTGAAGAAATAATGAATAAAAAAACTTGATGGATGGACCTAGAGAGAATTATATGAAGTGAAACAAGTCAGGCACAGAAAGAGAAATATCACATGTTCTCACCTATTTGTGGGAGCTAAAAATAAACAAATAAATACACAAATAACCCGGGGCAGGGGGGAGGGAAGAAGACAGAACAATTACAATTCCTTGAAGTTGACAGGACAAGCAAACAGAAAGGAGCTTGTTGGGAGGGAGGTTTTGGTAATGGGCCACAATAATCAACCATATTGTATATTGACAAAATAAAATAAAAATTAAAAAAAAAAAAACTTGATGAAAATTATAAACTCATAGATCCAAGAAATTCAACAACCCCCAAACACAAGAAACAAAGAAAACTGCAGCAAGGCACATAATTAACTTGCTAAAAATCAGTGATAAAATCTTAAAATGAGCCAAAGACAAAAGACATGTTACACACAGAAGAACAAAGGGAAGGATGACATCAGATTCCTCAGTAGAAGCAATGCAAATGAGAAGACAGTGGAGTGGAAACTTTACAGTACTTAAAGAAGAGACCTGTCAATCAAGAATTCTATATCTAGGAAAAATATTTTTCAGAAATGAAGGTGATCAGATCCCCATACTAGCCAGCTGCCAAAAAAGAGAAAAAAAGAAAGTGAAATAGGTGGTGCAGGGCAGGGGGGTAGTTGCCATGGGGGAGGTGCAGCAGCTCTGAGTGCAGGTGGTGGTAGACTCCATGGTGAAGAGTCTGCAGAGAATGTACATCTGGATGAGAGATCATCATGTTCCAGTGCAGCACCAGCTGTTGTGAGAACAGCCAGGCATCCATGAGCAGGTACACCAGTGCTTGAGCACTACCACGCACCTCTGGCTCAAGCCGAGGCCTTGGCAACCAATGAGTTAGAAAAATTCCAGGACTGCCTGGCCAAGTGTACAATACATTGCAAAAACAAAGATTCAACAGATGCAGGAAATAAAATGCTTCAGATGAAGGGGCAGCTGGACAGTTGTGTGACCAAGTGTGTGGACGACCACATGTACCTCATCCGACTATGATCAAAAAGGAGGAGTCTCTCTCACCCATCAGGAAATAAAAGTCTTTGCTAGTGGCCATCAGGGGTGAGGGCAGGAATCTATTTAAAAAGAGGAACGGGAATTTTAGCCATTAAGATAAATTTATGAGTGAAGAAATGGCAACAAGTTTAAGCCATAAGTCACTTGCTCCTGGACACTGGTTCTTTTATGTTTCAATCCTAAAAAGTGAAATGGAAAAAACTGGTGTTAAAAACTGGGTCAGAGATAACACAGAAAAGTGTTTTAGAGCCTAAATTTCTTGTGGCAATTGCCTGTCCTGGCAGTAGGAATCTCCCTTGTACCAAACCAGAGCTCACTACACTGGTACCAATGGGCTTCCAGGTTCCCCTAACCTGCCTAGAGTCTGGTGAAGTTTGATAGGTGTTTCTGTTTTTTCCCAACCTCCTGCTTACCAGAAATGGCAATATTATATTCCATAAGCTATAAAACAAAATCCATGAGGTCACTAATTTAGAAAGGGCAAAAAGGTTTCTGGGTCCTTGTTTTCCTTGGTTTTGTTTTATATAGATGGGCATAAAGTTGATTTAAGATGTGGAGTTGGAAGGAATAGTAGTTTGGATAAGAACTTTGAAAGATTTCTTGTGGATATCTTTTTCTGGATATTAAGACGTAGATGTGCATTTCTGGAAATTCTTACACACTGCATCTTTCAGCCTGGAGATCATGCAAAGACACAAGAGGTGACACTACACTGAGTATGGGAAGCAGAGCTTCCCTCCCGTTGCCTGATGGGCTCTGAGGCTGTCTGCAGCAGAATGACAGGACAATCTTGCAGTAACACTTTCTCCTTGAAGGGAAAGGGGGTTTTGATTTTGATATATAGCTGTACCCAGGAATGAACAGTAAAAGAGGAACTGTTGGCTACTTAAGAGTGTTGTGAAGTCCTGGATTTGGAATAATCTGGTTTTCATAGAACAGACTGGAATGAAAACTTAAACCCAGCATTGCTTACATATTAGCTCCCTGAGTTAAGAGCCCTAATGAGATAATCTCCTGGCAACAGGAAAGTCAAAGGAGAAAAAGCAAGCAATCTGGGCTAAGGCGAGGTGTAACTCCTTTAAAGTAAAGGAGAGGCTGCCTTCCATTACCAAATACCATTTTTGACTGAGGCCTTTGCAATATGTATTTTTTCTGCCGCAGTATGACACATTATTGTTTTGATAAAGACTTCGTTGTCCTTTTACCAACTTATTACTTGAAATGACAATATAGGCCTGTTTGCTGTTTCAAGGGTGTATTTTCTTAGTGGTTTGATATTTTAAAAAAATAAATAAGGCTCACTTGGCTTAATTCCCTCCCACCTCCCACCCCCCCCACCAAAATGAAGGTGAAATGAAGACATTTTCAAACATAAAAAAGCTGAAAGCATGCATTACCAGCGGATCTGCATTATAAGAAATATTAAAGCAAGTTCTTCAGACAAGCAGAAAATTATATCAGATGGAAACTAGGATGTACAAAAAGGAATAAAAAGCCCCAGAAAAGGTAACTACATAGGTAAATAAATAAGATTATTTTCTTATTATTTAAATCTCCTTAAAAGACAATTGACTGCTTAAATAAACATAATAATGAATTGTGGGACTTACAACATACGTAAAAGTAAAATGCACAGCAACAGTACCATAAAGGATGGGAGGAAAGAAATGGAAGTAAACATTGTAAAGTTATTACATCATATGTGAGGTGGTAAATTATCAATTGAAGTTAAAGATGTATGCTATAAACCCTAAAGCAACCATTAAAATACAACAAAGAGTTATAGTTAATAAGAAAACAAAGGTGATAAGAAATCATAAGAAATACTAAATTAAGGCAAAAGAAGGCAGAAAAAGAGAAAAAAGGGAACAAAAAATGGATAAGGCAATTAGAACCAAAACAGGAAGGTGACAGTCTCAAACAAAAACTGGCAATAATCACATTGAATGATCTAAACACCCAAATTAAGAGGGAAAGATTGGATTTAAAAATGCAAGCTCCAACTATATGCTGCCAACAAGAAATGTGCCTTAAAATATAAAAAGACAAATAGTTTAAAAGTAAAAGAGTGGAAAGGGCCGGCCCGTGGCTCAGTCAGGAGAGTGCGGTGCTGATAACACCAAGGCCACGGGTTCGGATCCTATATAGGGATGGCTGGTTGGCTCACTAGCTGAGCATGGTGTTGACAACACCAAGCCAAGGGTTGAGATCCCCTTACCGGTCATCTTTAGAAAAAATAAATAAATAAATAAAAATAAAAGAGTGGAAAAAGATATAACATGCTAACACTAATCAAAAGAAAGCTGTGGTGGCTATAATAATGTTAGACAAAATAGATTTCAAAGCAAAGAATATTAATAGAAATAAAAAAAAGATTGAAAATCGATATACCTCTAGCCAGACTGTTCTGAAAAAAAGAGAAGACACAAATTGCCAATATCAGGAATGAGATGACATCACTACAGATTTTAAAGATATTAAAATCATAAAGATATTATGAATAACTTCATGGAAATAAAGTTAAACAACTTAAATAAAACAACTTAAACAAAATGGACCAATTCCTTAAAAGACACAGACAACCAAAGTTCATTTAAGAAGAAACAGATAACCTACATAGTGGTATATCTATTAAAGAAATTGAAATTGTAGTTAAAAATCTTCCCCTCCCACACACAAAGAAAAAACAAACCCCCTGAATATTTTAAAGTGCACACTCAGATTGATTCACCAGTAAATTCTATCCCACATTTGAAAAATAATTATAATTCTATGGAAATACTTTCAGAAAATTTAGAGGGAGGGAATATCCCCAACTCATTGAATGAGGTTAACTTTACCCTGATACCAAAGCCAGACAAAGACATTACAAGAAAAGGAAACTACAGAATATCCCTCATGAATGTAGAGGCAAAATTTCTAAACAAAATTATTGCAAATTCAAACCAATGACATATTAAAAGGATAATACACCATGTCCAGGTGGAGTTTCATCCTTGGAATACAGAGTTGGTTTAACATTCAAAAACCAATGTAATTCAGCATAACAACAAACTGAAAAAGAACCACAGGTCATCTCAAAAGATGCAGAAAAAGTATTTGACAAAACCCAATATCCACTCCTGATAAAACTCTCAGCAAACCAGGAACAGAGAGAAATTCCTCAACTAGATAAAGGATATATATGAAAACCTATAGCTAATATCACACTTAATGGTAAAAAGGAACTACTATCGATACATATAAGAACATGGACGAATCTCAAAATAACTGTGCTGAGTAAAAGAAGCTTGACCAAAAAAAAAAAGTATATACTGAATAATTTCATTTATATAAACTCTAGAAAACAAAAACTAATGCATAGTGACAGGAAGCAGATTGTGGGTGTCTGGGGATGAAAGGATACAAAGAGGAAGAGGAAGAATAATGAAGGGTCACAGGGGAACCTTTGAGGTCATAGATACATTCACTATCATGATTGAGGTGAAGGTTTTGAGAATATGTATGTTAAAATTCATCAGATTGTACACTTCAAATATATACAGTATTTTATGTCAATTATTCCTCAATAAAGCTCTTTAAAAAACTATATAAAACATATGTACAGTATATACAGTATACACATACATATATATTCATGCCTGTGGCATTTGACCCGGTATGAAACAAGAAAAGGATGCTTGGAACAAACAATGAACAGAACTTTCAGGAAAACACTCCAGTGTTATAGTTACTCAACTTCTTCACAAGAAGATAAAGGATATCTAGGAAAACCTATATGGAACCAAAACACCTTACCCTAAAGAAAGAATGAATAGCAGCTGTGGCTTCACTGCGAACCCTCAGTATAGAACCCAGAACATTAGTTCTACACCTGAGGTGAGGATATTGTCTGATGTACTCCAGAGTAGGCCTCTCTTTATATTTGATAGGGAAAGCCTGTCAATAAAAGCGGGGGTGGGGGGGGGGAGAAACCAAATTAAAACCTAAAAAAGATACTGTATATAAAAACAGTTTCCAGGGCATTTCTTAAATAGTGCTTTAGAACAAACTAAGATGCTCTTCTTTATTTCTTAATATAACTGATTATAGTCCACATTATTTTCACCAGGTAAGTGGAATGGTAGGGTGGAATCAGAGAGATGTCGGTTTGAATCCAGCTCTACTACTTATTGGCTAAGTTATTTAATATCGCTGAGGTTCACCTGTTACTGATCAAACTTCTACCCATTAGCTGTCAACCACTTCTTACAAATAGGATAAGATCACTTATGCAAAACAGTCCACTGTTCGGCACACAGGAGTTCAGAATATTGTAGCTATTAAAGATTATGCTTTCAATCCTTGTATACACACAGCTGTTATTCAATTTTAAAATTACCCATATGTTTTGAAAACCCACAGTAATTCATAATCTATTGGTGCTTTTTATTACTCTTTATCGACATGTTACCAGTGTCTAAGAACCTGAGGGAGGGTCATCAGTTTTCTTTCACCTAGCAGATTAGTGAAGATTTACAAAAAATTTTAAATTAAATTATGGCTCCACCTTGAAATATTTCCACCGTGTACATACTCATGTTACAAGATTGAGACAGATACATCCTTTCATACAAAAACCAAAGTTTCAATTTAAAAAGATAAGGGAGAACTTAAAAAAAAGCTACACCGGCAACCTGCTTCTTTTAGTCTCTGCCTATTCTTTTTAGGCCTTATGCACATACTAATTTTTATGTTGTATAGAAACAATCACCATACTAACTAAAGTGAAAATGTGACCACATTAATAGAGACCTGGGAACTGCTAGGGATTCAGAATTCCCTAATGTCTGAATACTTTAAAATGACACTGAACTGAAAGGGAAGGGAAGGTGAAGGCATCAACACCAATAAAAACCAAGGAAGTGAAACACATGGCAAATTTTTAATAATCATAGATCCCTCTAAAAAAAAGCAAAACCAAAATGGGTACTTTCTCCACCCCTCTCTTGATTTCCAAATTATTTTACAGCCTACTGTTCAGAAATCTTGGAACCTAATTATTGATTTCACATGTCAATTAGAATTTCTTGAAAAATTATTCAGAATGATATTTTTTAAGGAAATTGGCTCATTTTCTTCGTTTACTTCCTTACATTTAATTTCTTCCTATTATTCCAAAAGAACTAAAAATGAATTAAACTGATGCAATTTCCCTACATTTCCTTACTTTCTGTTCGTTAAATATTTGAACACAATTACAGTATAATAATACAACAATTCGGGGGCTGGCCAATTAGCTTATGTAGGTAAAGTGAAGGAAAATGGTCAGGGCCCCTCAGATATTCAGAATCTTGCCGAGTGTTTGATGTAAATATGCATGTGTGCCCAGGTGTTCCTTGGCTATTGTCTTTTGTAGATGTGCGTGGGCACCCAGGTGTCCTGGGTTATGGACTTAAGTATAAAGGACGAGTGGCTCTGATCCACGGTGCCCCCTGCCCCTGGGAGGGCATGTGGAGGGGGAGGTGGCAGTGGCGGCTGTTACTGCAAGCTGTTGCTACCAGTGCCCCCGAGACCCTCTGGGAGGCCAAGACCCTTGGAGAGGGCACCACTGCCACTGCTGCTGCTGAGGACTGAGTTTGCATTGTCTGCCAACAGCTCCCAGGATCTTTCCCAATTACCTAGCATGGACCTGCGTATGAGGGGTCTGGTGACCCAGTCTGTACAATGGGTTTAAAGGGTCTGAGCCCCAGCCCTGACAATACAAATGGAAACTTGATATAACTAAAATAATGAAATGTTTTGGCTTTAGTTATAAAATGCCTAGCCATACGATTAGCATAGCTATTGCCTCAACCTGACAATTGGCATAGTCGTGCAGCTATTCCCTTAGCTTTACAGCTTGGTTAGAGCACAGCCTTATAACAATACAATAAAAAAATAAAACAATTAAAAAAAAACTAGGGATCTTCAAAAAGTTCATGGAAAGATTCATATTATCTCTCTCTCTCTTTTTTTTTTTTCCTTTTTTTTGTCTTTTTTCGTGACCGGCAACGGATCGCAACCCTCAGTGTTGCGCCTGTACCGGACCGGGACCGGCTACGGGATCGGAACCCTCGGTGTTGCTCCTGCACCTCGCTCAGCCAGTGAGCGGCTGGTCTGTATGTGGGATCCGAACCCTCAGCGGGAGCGCCGCCGCGCTTCCCAAGCGGCGCACTGTAGCAGTGCGCCACCGGGCCGGCCCCATATTATCTCTTAATTCCATTTTTTCACAAACTTTTTGAAGTACCCTAATACAGTAATAAAATATTTACGTAGCATTTATATCGTATTAGGTATTATAAGTAATCCAGATATGATTTAAAGTATACGGTATACATAGGTTATATGCAAATAACTACACCGTTTTATATAAAAGTTGAGCATCTGCAAATTTTGGTATGGGGGGTGTGTGGGGGCTGTTCCTGGAATCAATTCCCCATGATTCCAGGGGAATTGACTGAGTGATGACTGTATAGCAAAAACACAAAGTCAAATGGCTAGAACATGAATTTCAGCTGTGCCACTAATCAGCTCAGACCCTTAAGCAAATCAATTCAACTGGCTGGGCCTCATTTTCTCCACCAGTGTAAATTTAAGGAATTAGATTGATGATCTTTGATTTTACTTCCTCTAACCTCTTTATCAGGTTTATAAATATAAAGCTACTAACAGAAGAGTCTTGCAAAAGAGGTATAAACATGTCTTAATGTAGAATTTCTTGTCTCTACGCAGCCCAAGCATCACATCATTCTGGATCAGCACCAGCAAAAAGAACTTTGTGATAAATGGAAATGTTCTGTATATGTGCTATTCAAATATGGTAGCCAATAGCCACACGGGATTACTGGCACTTGAAATGTGGCTAATGCCACTGAGGAACTGAATTTTTTATCTAATTTTAATTGATTTAATATCAAACAGCTGCAGGTGGCCAGTACCATTATTGGATGATAAGTTCTGGATCTTGCAAAAGTCATTTCTAGCTTTCCTAAAAATGTGAAACTGAAATGGCCTGTCCTTGTATGTCTCTGTCATTTGGATGACTGGGCATGCTTGTAAAAGCAGTGAGTTTCAACTGTGACAAGCACCCCCAGAGATGCAGATTAATACTTAGCTCTTATTAATAAGACTAACCCATTTACATAAATAACTTTTGCTACTGTCTCTACAGGCTCTATGGCCCGTCTCAATTACCTGGGAAGTCACAACTGAAATGTGTTTTAAGTGCCATTTTCCCAATAATCATACTTAAAACAAATAGCTAATGTTTTAAATTAAGCCTAGACAGCATCCACAAAAGTGTCAGAAAGCATACCTTAGCATCACATTTTCCAATAACTTCAATTTTCTCTGCCTTCAGTTCCACATTTTGCCTTTTGGATGGACTTTTTACCAGCTGCCCTTGGACTTCCACAGAGCTCCCAAAAACCAATTCTCTGTAGTAACCAAAAAACAGGGTAAATAAGGTATCATTATATATAACCTTTATTTTAATACAAACCTTGCTATCAGAACACTGAAATACTTAATGACAGAAGTTCTTACCCTTAATTAGGTTAGTCTTCAGAATCTATGGATTCTGTTATATACCAAAATTATAAAAATGAATTCCATAAGCTCAAAAATGGAAACAAAAAGAGTTAAGGATTTGTACATAGGTATTTGGAATTAAGAGGTTATATAATTATCCTTATCAAGAAGTTAGTTGGCCAAAAAACTTTTTAAAAGATTGCAAATTACATGAAAAAACTGGTAAAATCAGAATAAGGTCTGTATTTTCATTAATAGTACTAAATCAATGCCAATTCCCTGGCTTTGATAACATACTATGGTTATGTAAGATGTTATCATTGGGAAAAATGGGCAAAAAGTATACAGGAATTGTGTACTGTTCTTGCAATGACTTACTTTTTTTTTTTTCTTTTCTTTTTGGAGGCTGGCCAGCATGGGGATCTGAACCTTTGACCTTGGTGTTATCAGCACCATGCTCTACTGAGTGAGCTAACTGGCCAGCCCCTGAGAAATTACTTTGTTGGTTTTTGTTTTTTGGCAGCTGACAGGTATGGAGATCCCTTGACCTTGGTGTTATAACACTGCACTCAACCAGCCCCCTCCACTTTTTTTTTACTTTTTTTTTTAAAGTTAGTTGGCTGATGGCCTGAGTACTCACAGAACTACCTTCTGGTTAAGAAGTCTAGGTTCTAGTTCAAGTTCATCCAAAAATCAATTGTATGACTGCTATGGAAAGTCATCTAAGCTTATTTGTTTTAAGAATCATCTCTGTTAAGAAGAAGATGGACTAAATGATCATACATCCATTCTAGTTCTAATATTCCATATTACAATAAGTATAAGTGTCTTCTTTAATAAACGGTATTGAAATATTACAATACAGTAATACAATAAACTGTATTAAAGTAAATATGTCAGGAGATTCCCCACCCAGTTTTGTCTGCTTGGTACATTTAATGTGTATTTCCTTTTAAATTTATTCCTATATAATTTATATAAATAAGATTGTCCACTACTACACCAAACCTGACAGGGTATTTTGAGATGCTCTGACTTAAAATAGGTACTAACTGACACATAAGAATTTTACTTTGGGAGCTCTTGAGACTACCTCAAAGAGATAAGCAGTCATCCTCCAGAACCCCTAAAATTTAGATACAATTAGACATACCCAAGTCATTGCTATATTTATAATCAGAAAAAGTATAAGCTTTTTTTTTTTTTTTTTCCTTTTTTTGTCTTTTTTCGTGTCCGGCAACGGATCGCAACCCTCAGTGTCGCGCCCATACCGGACCGGGACCGGCAACGGGATCGCAACCCTCAGTGTTGCACCCGCACCTCGCTCAGCCAGTGAGCGGGAACTGGTCTGTATGTGGGATCGGAACCCTCGGCGGGAGCGCCGCCGCGCTCCCAAGCGGCACAGTGTAGCAGTGCGCCACCGGGCCGGCCAACTATAAGCTTTTTAAAAAGGCTGCTATTATATCAGAACATTTTTTTTAATTGTTCTGCCCAGTTGACCAAAATAGTCTGAGACCCATGAACCTATTCAATATGTGCAGAGCATTAACTTTAACAATCCTTGGAAAAGCAAAGTATTCTTATTCTAACAAATCAGAATAATGTGCTGCTCCTCTGAGCTCATACTCTAACATAAAAATGGTGTTAGTTTTAAAACCTGATGAATGTGACCATAAAAGTTTCTTCCACTTATTCAATAAACAATAATTGGTAACTGTCAGCACTGTGCTAGGGGCCAAGAACATAAACATGAATGAGATACTATTCCAAATCTCAAGGAACAAAGAGTCTAGTAGGAAGAGTCAAATAAAAATACAATTGATTACCATCCAATGTGATATATTCTTTTTTTTTTTTTTCCTTTTTGTCTTTTTTCGTGACCGGTAACGGGATCGCAACCCTCGGCATCGCGCCCGCACCGCGACTGGCAATGGGATCACAACCCTCGGCGTCGCGGACTGGTCTCCACATGGGATCCGAACCCTCGGCGGGAGCGCCGCCGCACTCCCAAGCACTGCACTCTACCGAGTGTGCCACCGGGCCGGCCCCCCAATGTGATATATTCTATAACAGATGTAAGCATAGGATGGTATGGGAGCACAGAGGAGGAACACAGTCAAGGGATGGGAACGTCAGTTGATGCCTAAACTGGAACTATGAAAGGCAAGTGAAGAAGAAAAGGCTATATCAGGCAGAGGCAGCAACATGTATAAGAGCTAGAGGACAAGAAAGAGCAGACAGTTTAAGGGAGATGCAAGTAGTTAAAACTGAATCAAAGCACAGGTGGAGGATACTGGCATGTGAAGATGTTAAACAGAAGAGGAAAGGCCTGAGCTCAAGGGATCTTGATTCCAACTCTTTGGACATGATCCTCAAAGCTATGAAAGCAGACTTGTTGAGAAAGATCACTCAAGGGGCAATATGAACCCTGGATTAGGGAAGTACGAAACATTGAAGATGAAAAAAAGAAAATAAAAGGACTCTCCTATTTTAAAAACTCACCTACTGTCAAAGCTTGAATCTGCAACCACCTGAAGGCTTTCCAAAGATGAACCATCATTTACATGCAGGAATAAGACTTCCTTCTGGGAACGAACTGAACGAACCCATCCCTAAAGAAGAGAAATATTTCTTATGTAAGCTTAAGACACATAACATTTTACATTTCACATTTTCATTACATACACACACACACACACAAGAGTAAATGGAAAAAAAATGTACTCACAATCCTGTTTCAACATATCAGCTGCTGTTAGTTTACCCATATGCATACATAATTATATGGTTCTTATCACAGTGAGATACAAACTATGGTATTCTTTTTTGTTGTTGTTAATAAAACTCATCATTTTGAATGGAGCCTAATATTCCATCAAGTTGACGAGCTTAATTCACATAACCAATCCTCCCAATATTGGCTATTCCAGGTATTTCCTCCCTGTCTCCAACTACAAATAAAAGGGCACATATCTTGGTGACTTTCTCCTTTTTATATCAAATTCCCAGAAGGGAGATTATGTACTCACAAAGGCCTTTACAATTTTTTTTTCCATTTACAAAGTAACATACAAAAATGCCCTCAAAAAATTTCTCATTATGAATCCATATGGAGTAGCACATAAACTTTCAAAGACAGTCTGAATTAAATGGCAGGTGCATGTAAGTACCAGTGAGATGTTTTCAAATAGACCACTAACATTAAAAACATGTCTCTCAGATACACTAAACTTATATTTTATAAGCATATGAGTTAATTTGCCATTAAATATGCTTGGGAAAAAGCAAGAGATAACCTATTTAGAAAAACTATACTGACCCTTACTTTCCTTGTGTCCCCACCATACTCTATACCACTGTTATTAAAACTTATTTCTATGGCCATAACCCTTTGAGGGAAAGAACCATGCTTTAGTTGCTTTGAAGTATACAGCCAGGTACATAGAAGATAATCTATAAACATTTTTCAGTGCAAGATTATTTACCACGTATTGAACATCTACTATGTAAAAAACATTTTACTATCTTCATATGCTGTTTCATCTCCTCCTCACAACAGCTCCATGAATTATCATTCCCATATTACAAGTGAGAAAACTGAGGCTCAGGGAAGTTAAATAACTTGCTGAAGGTTACACTGCTGGTAAAGTGTAGAGCCTGAATTTGAACCCAAATCTATTTGACTAAAAGCCTTGTTTCCCCAGGGCTATACTGAATAAAGTGTAAATTGCCTCAGCCTCCTGTACAAGCCCTTTTATGATGTGGAACACACCCATCTTTCTGGTTTCATCTCACCATACTGTCCAGAGGCACTTGCTCTTTGGTCAGGCTCAATGAATAATATTCATTCATTCTCTTTAACCTGTTAGTAAAAGTTAACATTGAGTACTTTTTAATGTGTTTTTGTTTTAAGCTCTTTATAAATATTATGCTACTTAATAGTCCCAAGAACTTAATAAAGTCATTGTTATTACCACTTTACAGATGAAGAAATATATTTAGAGACAGTAGAATAAACTCTCCAAACAGTCCAGGTCACAGTTACCAAACAGCAGAGTGGGGATTTAAACGCAGTTTTTCAAAGTTCATGTTCATATCAAGAAGCTTTCTGGAATGCTATTTCAACCCTTTCTCCAGTACCCTCTGCCTGGGGAACACATTCTCATGCTATTTCCACTCTATCCCCAGTTCCTCAGCTTGTGGAACACATCTTTCAGGACTCAGCAGAAATGTCACCTCATGCAAGAACTCTTCCTTGACCCACACGGTTAGGGAATTTCCTGTTTTCTCACAGCTCTTTACTTACACCACTACTACTTATCTCACTGCTGTAACTGTTGGTTTTAACCATTAAACCAGGGTTATTTAATATAACGTGAGGCATTTTAATTTTTTTAGCAGTCATGTTAAACATAAAAACAAACAGGTGAAATTAACATATTTTATTTAACCCACTATGCCCAAAATATTATCAACATGCAATCAATATAAAAATGTATTAATGAGATATTTTGCATTCTTTTTTGTTCTTCAAAACTGGTATTTTACATTTACAGCACATCTCAATTCAGACTAGCCACATTCCAAGTGCTCAAAACCACAACTGCCTAGCAGCTACTGTATTAGACTGCATAGCACTAAAATGAAAATCTCTAATCTGGGCAGTAGGTTCTGTTCTTTTCATTTCCGAATTCTCTCTTGACCAGCACGCAGAAGGTATTACTGTATGCTGAATTAATAGACTGAAGCAAGAAGAGGTTTTAATATGGATCATAGAAAGAATATGAAACCCAGAGAAAAGCAAAGGGGGCAGATTGGTCATACTGCTAAAAAGCAAGGTTATGTGAGGACAACGAAAATAACTGCATCAGTGTATTTCAGCAATTTAATGAGAAACAATCAAACCACCCTTGCTTAACCTGATCCTTCATAGAAGGGGAATCTTCTATGTGAAGTTGCTGTAAATACAGTAGTCCCCTCTTATTCTCGTGGGGATACAATCCAAGACCCCCAGTGCATGCCTGAAACCACAGCTAGTACCCTATACACTATACTCTTTCCTATACAGTAACGTACGGGTAGCATATACGGTGTGGATGCGCGGAACAAAGAGATAATTCACGTCCAGCCAGAGCAGGACCGCGGCGCACAATTTAAAATTTATGAATTGTTTATTCCTGGAACTTTCCATTACATATTCTCAGACCACGGTAACAACCACAGAAAGCAAAACTGCGGATAAAGAGAGACTACTGTAATATTATTAGTAAGAGAAATAATTGCAGCTAACATTTATTGACAATGGGTCACTGTTTTAAATATCTTTTACCCATTATCTCATTTAATTTTCAGGACTCTGTGAGGTAGGAACTATTATTACCTCTACTTTCCTAAGAGGAAACTGAGTTTTGGATCAATCACATTAAGTGACATGCACATAATTAACGAGCTACTAAGTGGCAGAGATTTAAACCTAGGCAGTTTGACTCCAGAGCACTTTCAAACTGCTACATCTCACTCTTTCTCCTAATTTATTAAAAATAATTCACATAGGGCCAAGCCCATGGCGCACTCGGGAGAGTGCGGTGCTGGGAACGCAGCAGCGCTCCCGCCGCGGGTTCGGATCCTATATAGGGATGGCCGGTGCGCTCACAGCGCTCACTGGCTGAGCGCGGTGCGGCCCGTCTCAAAAAGGACAAAAATAAATAAATAAATAAATAATTCACATAGCCCCATTTTAGGCACTGATATGGCTAAAAGCCGAATAAAAGGTATGGTTTAGTTGAACCAGTTTATACTGTCAGCCAGAAGTGAATACCAAGACAAGAAAGAAGGTTTTGCTGTCAAGGAATCAGCTCAATACAACCACTTTATAACCATGGATATTCATTATGAGGAATAAAGGTAGGGAAAAGGTAGAGAAAAATTAGCTACATTTTTTTGTATGGTTAACAAGTTAAAAGGTAATGCCCTGATATCATGTAAAGCAAAGTTCCAGCACTTTATAATCATCGGAACAGTTTTGCAAAAAGTAACGGTACCCAAGGAAAGAAAAAAAAGTGTGGACCCACGCGATGCCTACATTTTCTTATTTTTCCCTGCTGGTGGTTTTGTCTGACCCGACAGTACAAAGTAAAGCTAGACGTGGTGATCCATATAAATCCCTAAAAGGAAAAACCCTACCCCCTTCCCACACACCAACCTGGACTTTAACGCGCTCCCCGCTCGTGCTCTGGGCCCCGAGAGCGTCCCGCACGCTGAGTTTGGCTTTAGGTTTGTGCCTCGGGAAGGGAGCGGAGGAACAGAAGCGCAGGGCTCGGCGCAGGCACCAGGCCCCGAGCATCACGCGGCTGCCCCAGGCCCTCGGCGGGACCGGCCCTGAGCCCCGCGGGTTCAGACCCTGCCTGTAGCCCGGCCCTCAGGCGCTCCAGAGCCCCCCGGCTGCTCTTCCTCCTTCACAGCGCCCAGATGTGTCCCCACAGAACCTCTCCTCCGCCTTCCTCGTTCCAACAGAGGCGAACGCGGACACGGCACTCGGCCAACACCAAAAAAGCCTTGTACCGTGGGCCGCTAAGGTGCCCCTACAGCCCCGCGACAATTCTAAACCTACGCTTCGGCACGCGGCGGCAACACAAGCTGCCACCGTCCCTACGTCACCACGCCAACGCCGCTAAGTCATCACGCTACGAGGAGGTTAAGAGAGAGCATGCGTACTTGTGACCCCCGGTCCAAGGAGGCGGGCCAGAGGCGGGGCGAAGGAGGCAGGGCGGGCTCAGGAGCTGAGGTGGGGCGGAGCTAAGGCACTTGGTTGTAGGGGTTATCACTGAAGAAACCGAGGAGCACGCTTGGGGTGGGGTCTGAGCCTCTTCATTTCTGAAGCTTCCAGGAGAGGCTGAGGAACCCTGAGAGGCAAGGAGTTAGGAGAAGCGTCCGGAGGAGATGCTTAGTTGTCGAGAGGATTGGCCTGAGGATATCAGTTGTTCTGAGTTCTGAGCACCGAGAGAAACCAGACATAGCTCCTGCTCAAGTCACAGTTGTGTGATGTGAGACATCTAAACAGACAATTGCATAAAAGGGTGATCACTTGCCTGACAGAAAGTGTGGGATGCCAGAGACGGCTTCTGGAGAAGGTAGTCCTCTGACAGGTAAGAAGAAGAACTGAAGAGACTTTGAAAATGGGAGTCAGAGAAGCGCATGAGAGTGTGAAGATGTTGGAGAGAGACTGGAGGAATGCCAAGCATTGTCTGCCAGATCTTCAAGTCTCTCTCTTTTTCCAACACAGCTATCTGCATTTATTTGACCTGGAAACAATGACCCTTTATATATTACACTATGTTTTAAATTAATCCCCCCAACCCCCAAATTTTTTTCTGTAAGTCAGTGATACTCATAAAAAGATTTCTGTCAAATTAAACAATAAAAGGTAGAAGTGAGGGCTAGTTACTTAAGTTGACACTATTATTATGCCCCTTTCACAGATAAGAGAACTTATGCACAGAAAGGTTAAATGACCTGCTCAAGGATACACATCCTATAAGTGTGTGATTTAAACCCAGAAGTCCTGGCTCTGTGCACTAAACTATTATTCTATACAGTGTTTCAAGGTGGAAAATTAAAGCCATGGTGATTTCCATCAAGGAGTTTGTATTAGTTTGTTTCTGTTGCTTATAACAGAAATACTGGAACTGGGTGATTTGTAAGAAAACAAAATTTATTGCTTACAGTTTTGGAGGCTGGGAAGTCCAAAGTATAGGGAACACATCTAGTGAAGGCCTCGGTGATGACAGTAACAAAAGGGTCTCACAGGGCAGAATGGCGGAGCAGAAAGTGAGACTAACCTCATCCATTCTCCTTTTATTTATTTATTTATTTGCAGCTGGCCAGTAAGGGGATCTGAACCCATGACCTTGGTGTTATAATACTGTGCTCTAACCAACTGAGCTAACCAGCCAGACTATTCTCCTTTTAAAGCCACCAGAACCACTCCCATTATTCCAAGAATGGATCAATCCATTCACAAGGGCATAGTCCTCACAATTCAATCACCTCTTCAAGGCCCCACCTTTCAAATACCTCAGTAGGATTTCCCATCTTCTTAACACTGTCACAGAGGAGAGTTCATGCTCTAGAGGACACTGGCAAGAAAAGAGATCACTGCACTACAAATCAATAAGTGCACATATAGAGATATGAGCCAAGTGGAGTAGAGAAGGATAATTAAGCTGAGTTTTTGGGGAGGATCAGAATTTTGCCATGTGTGGATGTAAGAAAATTTCCAGCCAGGAGGTGGGCAGGAAAGGTTGCCAGGAAGGCAAATGGCCTGGAAGAATTATAAAATTGTCCTCAAGACAGACTAGAAAACATCTCCCATGAAAATGGTTGGGCAATTCTTGGACCCTGAGAAAGGAAAAGTGGAAACTTACACCCAAATGCCTTCAGAATTATGTAGCTATGGGCCTTTAAGAAAAATTATGTATGATTCGTTTATTTAATGTATAAAAATAGGCAAAACAAATCTATAGTAATAAAGCCAAAAACATAGTTAACTTTGGGGAAAGTATGACTGGGAAGAATCATGAGGGAGGCTTCTGGGGTGCCGGTAATGTTCTATTTCTGATTCTGAAAGGGAGGTAGAGAAATGGGATTGTAAACTTTATTATTTGTGCACTTTTATGTAAATACTCGTATGTTAAACTTCAATCAAAAGTTTACTTTAAAAACATTATGTTCACTGTATTATGTTGGTTGTGTAGTGAACAGAGGGAACGAAGTATGGCCTGTATAGCCAGACAGACCTTAACTAAATCATGGCTCTGCCATGTACTAGCCAGGTCACCATGGGCCAAGACTTTCCCTCTCACAGGTAAGAGATGAGTTACTTCTGTGAAATGGAGATAGCAATACTTGTCTCACAGGGTTGTTAAAATGAGCAAATAAGATAATATATTAGACAATAAATAAACTATGATTATTTAATCATTAAGCTCAAAGGGTAGGTCGTTTTATTGTCCTCATTTTATGGATAAGGCTGCTGAGAGACAAGAGTTTAAGTAGGTTGTCCAAGGTCCGTTAGCTGGTAAATAGCAAGCACTAGGGATTCAAACCCAGGTAGTCTGTTTCCAGAATCTTTCCTCTTAACCACTATGTGACTGTCATAGAGCAGAGATACTTGGGGTTTTTTTGTTCACTGATTATTCCAAATGCCTAGGCAGTTCTGGTAAATTGTATGATCATACCCTTCATTAAAATAAATAGTATCTTTCATTAAACTAAACATTTTTTAAAAATCATAAATACTTAGCTGTAGTTAAACTGTTCTAACAAAGATATATGCTTTGCTCTTTTGCTATAAAATAGTGCTGTCATTCATAATTTTAAATCTGCAGGAAGTGAACCGTTTGAATTTCTTCAGTGTTCATCAAACATTTCTTCCACCTAGTAGTGGCATATATAAATTGCAAGGGAAGATGTTTTTTTAAGAGGTAAATAAATCCTCTTGGAGACCTAAGTCGGCACAAGACGGCTCTGGGGAGATGGCTATGAAGCAGAAGATCCTCGTTTAAAAAAAAAAAGCCAGAGTATCATGAGCTGCTTCTGACATTATCAGGGGAAAGAATCATGGAGATTTTGTAGAGAATTTATAAACATTTTCTTCATAGAAATCCAAGTTAAAATTGGTTTTCCCTGTATACAAAATTAGCAGAACCAGGAAGGACTGCTTATTATGTACTCCTCCCATCTGTGGTAGAAACAGAAAAAGAACTGCAGTGAATGAATCTTTTTTCCACTCAGGAGCTGGAAGTTCACAGCAATACATTCTGAATTTAAGAATAGTCTTGTTCTCATTTTTTAATTTATTGAGAACTTACAGAAAAGAGACTTTGTTTTGTTTTGCTTTACATTTTTTATTTTTAGGTTTAGAAAATATTTTTTGTTTTTGGCAGGGGCGAAGAGACTTTGTAATAACAAAGATTTTAAAAACAAAATTTTTTTCTGAAAAACCTTATATGGAAAAACCAATAGCCTATTACTAACCTCATACTGACATGGTCCAAAGAGGTGTAGATATTGGGCTACTAATGAATACAGCCCAGGAGAAATCAATTATATAATTTTCATCAGAGTATTGGGCCTATACTAATCCCCTTCCTCTTCTCTGAAAACTCACTATTGACTTAGATTAGTAAATGGATTCAAACAGAGGAAATAAAATGGTTCATAATAACAATGGTAATACCAGTAGTTACCATTCACTATGCTAAGGACTTTAGATACATTATCTCATTTAACTCTTTCAACAACTCTATTCATCCACTTATTTAAAAAGTAGTATGTGCCAGGCACTCTTGCGGGTGCTAAGGAGGTAGGAGTGAAGAAACTAGACAAGAATTTCTGCCTTCATAGAGCATACCTTCTGTAGTAGAGATAGATGGTAAACACATAAATAAATAAACCATATAGTGTACTATCAAGAAGAGTTAAAGCAGGGAGAAGGGCGAAGGGAGTGTTGGGGGGAATTGCAATTTTAAATAGAGTGATTGGGGAGGATCTTGCAGAGAAAATAACGTCTGAAGGAGTTAAGGGGTGACTGTGAGGATTATCTGAAGGAAGAGGGTTCTAGGCAGAGGGAAACGCAAGTTCAAAGTCCTGATCAAAGAGCATGACTCAAAGAACAACAGCAAAGAAGCCTGTGGCTGGAGTAATGTGGGCAGAAAGAGAGGTGGGAAGAGAGGTCACAGAGGTAACTAGGAGGCAGATGACACAGGGACTCATAAGTCATAGGATGAACTTTGACTCTTACTTTGAGTAAGATGAGGCGCCCCTGGAAGGTTTTCAGCAGGGGCAGTAACATGATTTGGCTTATGTTTTAATAGAAACACAATGGCTGTTGTATTGAGAACAGATCAAAGGGGGAGGGGGCGGAGCAGAGTCAGAGAGAACAGTTAGGAGGTTCCTGCAATAACCCAGAAGAGAAATAATAGTGGTTTGCATAGGGTTATAGCATTGGAGGTCTTAAGAAGTGCTCTGATTCTGGATATATTCTGAAGTAGAGGATTTCCTTAAGTATCTGGACATGGGGTGTAAGAAAGTTGTCAAGGATGACACCAAGATTCTGAATTGAACAATGAAGGAATAAAGTTGTCATCTACAAAACTGGGAAAAGCAGAGAGTAGAATGATGGTCACCAGTGGCTGGGGGTGGGGTGGGGGTGGGGAATGGGGAGATGTTGTTCAAAGGGTACAAAGTTTCAGTTAAGAGGAATAAATTCTGAAGATCTATCATACAACTTGGTGACTGCAGCTAATAATAATGTATCGTACACTTGAAAATTGCTAAGAGAGTAGATTTTAAATATTCTCACCACACACATGTGAAGTGATGGATATGTTAATTGTCTTGATTTAATCATTCCACAAGGTATACA